ATAAACATTAATGTCATATATGTAGAGATGATTAAATTATGTTAATAATTTCACTCAATTGTGAAAAGATCTAGAATTCTGACATTCTGTTCCAATGTTCTGTCCACTGATGACAAAGAATCAAACACCAAAGTCAGAAGAAATATGTTTTCCATGATTCAATTGGTATTTTAATGTGATTTAACATGAAAATAGCTAATCGAATTCAGTGGTAAATTAACAAGTTGACTTAGTGGTTTAAGAAATGACATGGGTTGGGTCAATGATGACACACCCATGTCTTCCGTTTGATTCTGCTGTGAGTGGCATCAACACCTCATCCACTGACTTGTCCCTGTCTCCTGCTCCACAGCTGGGAAATTAATCATTGCCAAAAAAACAAACATGAGACAAAATTTATGTTCTCTTGTGTCACAATGTTGTTCATCCTTGTCGCAGTGATACAAATTCCTGTTTCTACAGCAGATTGCCTTTGGGCTCGAACTGGAAGCCAGCTCTCTTAAGTCTCTAGACTGCTGCTCCACCCTGAAGATTTTGGAGTTTTGGATTTGCCAGCATCCATTAGGATGCTTACAGTGAACCTCTTCTGTCCCTCTCTCTCTCTCTCTATCTATATATGTATATATATGAGGGTACATCAAAAAGTTCATGGAAAGATTTGTATTCTCATTTAATCCTATTCTCCCATGAACTTTTGAAGTCCCCTCATATATACATGCACACATACACACACACACACATGCACACACACACATGTACACACACACACACATCCAAACCTTATTTCTTCTGTTTTTCTGGAGAATCCTGGCTAATACATGATTCTTCCTGGGGTCTTCTGACCTTCTTGGACCTATCTTGAAAAGTTACTTAAATTTAGAAAAGCCTTGGTTATTGTGTCTTCAATATTTCTTCTGCTCTACTTGAACTTAATTATTATTATGAAACTCTAACTACATGTTTATTAGATTGGTATATTACAGCATTTGTCAGACCTGTCTTTCCATGTTCTTTTTTCTTTTTATTTTCCTGCTCAATTTATACAGGTTCATCTTTAAATGTATAGGTTCTTTCCTCATCTATATTCAAACTACTGATGACCCTTGAAAGTAATTCTTTGTCTCAGATGTATGTGTAAACATATGTTTTTACTTCTAGCAATTCAGTAGACATATCTTCATAGTTTCTATTTCTGATAAAATTTTTCACATATTCATGAGTGCTGTTTACCTTCTCCACCAGAATTTTTAATCCAGTAATTGCCAATGCTCCTTAGTGAGAGACCACTTGTATTAATATGAAATTTAATTTGAAATTTGAACTTTGAAAGACCACTTTTTTAATTTGAAATTTATTTTATTTTATTCTTTTAATTGAAACATAATCGATTATAAATGTTTGTGGGGTACAGAGTTGACTATCAATACATGTGTACAAAATGTTGTAGTCAAATCAAGGTAATTATCATATTCTTCATTAAAAAATGTAGGCATTCATTGTGTCCACTGACTATTTGGAGACCAGTTTTATCTGAACAAGTTGTTTTATTAATCATTCTCATGAGCACTTGTTAGGGGCCTGCAGAAAGACCTCAATAGTAAGTACAAACCATTTCATTCTAGAGCTGTGTGCTTTTCCTAATAGGCCAAATTTGGTTTAATAATTCTTTAAAACTTAGCTGATTTCATCTTATTTGCTTGGGGTGACCACATCTTTCTCCTGACATTTATCAAAGGCACATTGTGGTATGTTTAGAAACATATATATTGCGTAATGATCAAATCAATGTAATTAGCATATTCAACACCTCAAACATTTATCATTTCTTTGTGGTGAAAGTATTTAAAATCTTCTCTTCTAGCCAATTTGAAATATACAATATATTATTGTTAACTAAGAGTAGTATATTGCATATTTCAAAATAATCCTCAGGGAAATGCAAATTAAAAGTACAGTGAGATACCACTTCACCCAGTTAGACTGACTATTTATAAAAAGAAAATAATCAACAATTTCTTATAGTTAGGCAGAAATAGTTATAGTCACTTGAGTTCCCCTTTCTCCACATCCTCGCCAACATTTGTTATTTTTTGTCTTATTGATAATAATATTTTAGTGTGGTTTTGATTTATATTTCCCTGATAATAAGTAATGTTGAGCTTTTTTTTTTTTTTTTTTATTCCAATTGGCCATTTTTTTGTTTTTTTTTGAGAAATGTCTCCCCAGCGTTTTTCTCCATTTTTAATTGGATTCTTTTCTTGTATTGAGTTATTTTTCTTTTTTAATTATACAACTTTTTTATAGCAACATAATTGACTATACATATTTGTGGTGTACAATTTTCACTATCTGTATTTCTGTACAATATATGATGATCAAATCAGGATAATTAGGATTTTCATCATTGCAAAGTATAGTCATTCTTTGTGTCCAATAACCAATTGCTCCCTAAATTTGCTCCCCCTTCCCCTTTCCTACCTCTAGTAACCACAGTTCTGTTTTCTTCTCAAAGTTCAATGTGTAATAAAGATTCTTTAATTCTTTCTTTTTTTCCTTCCCTCCTTCCTTCCTACCTTCCTTCCTTGATTTTTAGCTCCCTCTTATGAGTAAGGACATATGGTGTTTTGCTTTCTGTGACTAGCTTATTTCACTTAACACAATTTGCTCCAAACTCATCCACATAGCTGAAAATGGCAGAATTTCATTATTTTTTTTATAGCTGAGTAATATCGCATTGTGTATTTATACCACATTTTGGTTATCCAGTCATTTGTTAATAGCAATTTAGGTTGATTACATATCTTGGATATTATAATCAGAGCTGCAATAAACATGTGAGTGCAGTTATCCCTATGACATGATGATTTCCATTCCTTTGGGTATATAACCATTATTGGGATTGCTGGATCACATTGTAGAGATCTGTAGTTGTTTGAGAAACCTCCATACTGACTTCCATAATGACTGTACTAATTTAGTTGTATTTTATTTTATAACCCATACTTTTATTTGTTTTCCAGGTCCTAAAGTACACTCTCAGCAAATATTACCACCTAGAATCAATATATTTTTGGTTGGTTCAGAATAGATGTAATTAATTTCTGTAGCTGAGTAGTGGCTAAGACTTCAATAATGGAATAAAACTGTATGATGTTTAGCCAAATATAGCAAGAACACTTCCAGAAGCTTGGATGGTTTTCTGTGTGTGTGTGAGGGCAAATGGAGGGAAAAGACCTCCCATTTGGGAATTTCTTTGCAGGGATTCCAGAATGAGGAAGTAACTTCCTAATGAGTGATGAAGTCATAGTATAAACAAAGTGAAGGTATGTCTATCAATACGAGACTAAAGATGTAACCTTCAGTTATAGTAAGTGAAAATCAAATTACACAATGACTAACAACAGCAATCAACTTATATCAAAGAATACTGAATATGTATCCTTTTGACCAGAGTAATTGACATATAGGTGTCAATTTATCTCAGTTTTAAAGATACTACACTAAAGAGTTGAATAATGCTTTCATTGGAAATATTCTAAAATATGCAAGCACTATCAGCTATAATCAAGACTTTATCATCACTAGTTTCTGATCAAAGAAATATAAACTGATCTCCAACATTTTTTCATGTTTACTCAGTGATGAAAATTCACTTTATTCATAAGCCAATTTCTATTAAACCATCTTTTCACTGCCTCTTTTACATCTTTGTTCCTCAAACTGTAAATGAGAGGATTCAGCATGGGAACCACAATGGTGTAAAATACTGACACTATCATGTCATGTTCCAAAGTGTACTTGGAACTTGGTCTCACATACATGAAGAGGATAGTCCCATGATAAATTGACACTCCAGTTAGGTGAGAGCCACATGTAGAGAAGATTTTTTGCTTCCCTTCAGCAGAGTGCATCTTAAGAATGGCCACCAGAATGAAACCATAGGAGATCAGAACAATAAGTATAGTGACTATCTCAATAGATCCAGCAAAGGAGAAGAGTAGAAGCTGGTTTGTGTGAGTGTCAGAACAAGAAATATCAAGGAGAGGAGGGATATCACAAAAGAAATGTCTAATTTCATTGGATCCACAGAAGGACAGGCTGAACGTGGCCACTGTGTGTATAGTAGCAGTTAAAGTGCCACCGACAAAGGACGCAATAATGAGTGACATGTAGACTCTGTGAGACATGCTCACTGAATACAGAAGTGGGTTATAGATGGCTATGTAGCGATCATAAGCCATTGCAGCCAAAAGAATGCATTCTGTGGTTCCAAAAGTAACAAAGAGAAACATCTGTGCTGCACATCCAGATATTGAAATGGACTTATTCTCTGCCAGGAAATTGACCAACATTCTAGGGATGACAACTGTAGAACAGCAGGCATCCAAGACTGACAGAACACTCAGAAAATAGTACATGGGGTTGTGGAGCCTGGAATTGCCAATGACCAATACAACCAGTCCTAAATTTCCTACCAGAGTAAAAAGATAGATTGCAAGAAACAGTAAAAATAGGATGACCGGCTGCTTAAATTG